AGTCCACTGTGATCAATCCATGTGCCTCTCTTGCTAGTAGCTACTCGCTGCGGTCTTTCATTACCTCTCTTACATGGGGTACTTCTGCTTTTTCCCTTGTGTACTGAGGGGGTTGCTGGAACACGGGCTTGCCTGGACCGTGTCCCAGCCATTCATTTCTGGGGCAGCTGCAAGCACTTCTCTTTCTCCTGGGGCTGAGCATCTCCTCGACAGGGCTGCTGGTGGGATGGGGCAGTGCCTGCACCCACCCCCGGGGCCCGGCAGCCTCCTGTGGTGGGCTCATCCCAGCCAGAGCAGCCGAGGAGCAGCGCTGGGAGAGCAGCCGTGCTGTCACYGCGGATCCAGGCAGCCACACATGTCTGTGCTGGGACAGGCTCGGCACAGGGACACTCAGCTCGCACTGGGTGTAGTTGCTGTCTATGAATATGTTGGGTGGTGGGTGGCCAGAGGTCAGGAAGGGACGCTGGGTGGGGGAAATTAAATGAAAGGACAATGTTGACACAGAACAAATGATGCTAAATGGCTTGTGAAAATAGATCCATTAAGGGAATGATATTCTGCAACCGCCTTTAAATACAAACAGGGGAGAAAAACGGCCTTTAAATACAAACAGAGGAGACTTGGTTTGAGAAACCAAAGGCTGAACCCTGTGGTGAAGAACTGCATTTGCTGGTCATGTCCCACTCCACATCACTTGCAAGAGTTTCCTTCATGTCAATGAGACCAATCTGCTGCATTTTTTCCTCTTGAGGGCTAATRCATTCCAAACACTTCTCTGGTCATGTCTGATCATAAATAGCTGAGACTGTGATGAGTGTAACATGGAYTTCATCATATGGTAAAGATGGACCAAGGCTGTACAAGCAGGGAACAGTCTGTTAAGGCAYGAAAAAGTGATCTCTGTCCTCTCTATGCCAAGGGAATGTAGTCCTACTGACCCAATCAAACTTGGGCCATGGCAAGGTCACCACTGAAGTGTATTTGWAAGGAATGTGCTTGGGGACATCATGGTGGTTGTTTCTGCTCAGGCACCARCTGATGCTCAGGCTACTCAATTATTTCATCCCAGGAGATGTCCCCAGGCTGTGACAGAGGAGCTCTATTGCTCTCAGCATCATTCCAGCTCATGCAAGCTTCCATAGTGTCCTTCCACTTTTTCCCATTCCCATCCTTGTAAAGGAAAGCACAACCTCAAGGTAGGACAGAGGAGCTGCCATCTATGCACAAAACAGCTTGGCTGACTTTTGGGTGTCTGAGGAAGGTGCAGCATCACCTCCAGCAGTGTCATGCTACCTCAAAAGCTCTGCAGTGCACAGAGAAGTGTGATAGGAAACAGATGAGCTCTGCAATAAAAACGCTCTGAGCTCTTCTGTGAGGAATTGTCCTTTGGGGCACTGGCAGAATTAACTCAGTACTTCAGTGTTCTATCGTCCATTCAAACATGAGACATAGACACCTGCAGCACATGGGCAAAGAAACGGGCATTTGACAGCACCTCAAATAAGGCTCAGACTGCTGTCAGGCTCTGGAGGGATCCACACATGGGACGTTTTCATTGTGTTTCAGAAGGGCTGTGGTCTGTGCATGTGCACTTTGTTTGGCTGGCACTTCCCACCATGGAGGAAGTCAARTCCTCAGAAAGCCCCAGGCTGAAAGTTGTGCCCAGAGTCACTCACTCAGTCTCACAGTGGAGACACTGGCTGGTGACACATTTAGCCTGGTGCTGTAACAGGAGTAGTGAACACCACCTGCGTTTCTGCTCTTGCAAATTAAAACTGTTAAGATTGCTCACAAAAATAAAGTCTCTTTTCCGAGAACATTTCATTGGAGATCTTCACCCMGTGCCAAGGAATGTCATACCTCGTGGCCCTGAGATGAAAAGCTACAATTATGCAGCATTTATGCAGAATAGAACTATGGATACCTTAACAGTGACAGACACTATCTGTGAGCATTCCAGGCCCACAAACAGTAAATAGCTTTTTCTTCTTAAAGCTTCTCTTTCTGTCATTATTTCGATGGACTCTCAAAAGAAGTACAAAGGGGAATTCTGTCACTAGCCAAAGCAAATTTTTCCTTGAAACAGCCTCAAYTGAACATTAAGACCTCAATTCAGGAAAATTCATTTGGTCAGGACAGCTGCTTCTAACAGAAAAAAATATCCTTCATTACCTGGAACTTTTCACCCAGAAGAGAAAAGCCTAACAAAAGACAAAACCAGGAAGGGAAAACCAAATTCCCCTTAGAATATGGTACCGATTTAGTAGGGAGGGAAACCACCATTCAAACAAACTACCGAGGGCAACAGTGATTTTCCAGCTCCTGAGGTCTACAAATCAAGACCAGATCCCTTCTGAAGGTTAAATTACACCACCCTTCTTAGGAGGATCCAGCTGTAGCTCCTGAAACTGTACCACAGGACAGAGGGATGATTTTGCCTTGAGCAAGTGCTGCCTTCAGACAGAGGCAGCGGTGGCAGGGCTGGAGAGTGGTGTGCCTGGTGTGTGTCCCTAATCCCTGGCAGGGAGGAGCAGCTCAGGAGAGCCAGAGCTGCCAGGGAGCACAGCCACAGCTCAGCAGGTGAACCTCACTTTGCCTCCCACCACCTTCATTCCCCCTGACTTTGCCTCCCACCCCCATTGACCCCCTGACTCCAGCAAGCCACACCTGCCAGTCAGGAAGGACCAGCGTTCACCCATCAACAACCACAAGTTTTGGAAGGAGGGGAAAGCCTGCAGAAATCTGTGCTTGAACTGCTGCTGTCTCTCCCTCACCCGAATCATCTCCTTGCCTGAGGTAGGGCTGACTCACCCACAGCATGCTCTGCAGTTGGCAAGCTCCCCACCGCCTGCACCACCGCCAAGGACTGAGCACACAGGTTTGCTGCCATCCCAGAGAGATGGGGTTTTCACACTCCTGCACCGTCTGTATGTGAGCAAAAAAGAAGGGGGTCTTGGCAGGGATGCCAGAGCCACCTCTTTCCATCCTCGCTTCTGTGAACTTTTCCAAAGGATTCAAGGGGGGCCTGCATTTGCTGTTCCCTGTTGGCTTTGTCACACTGTCTGCTCCCCAAGTCTCAGGCTGCCAGTGCCTCTCCCCTGGATGACTTGGCTTGTGTTATTTTGTGTTAAAACCAGTATGTTTTTTTAATGGCTATAAATAAGTTWAAACTGCATCTTTAATTAATCACTGCACTTTATATTGTGAGTGGAGATTTTTTGTAATGATTCGTTTATGATTTTAAGATGCCATTTGCTCCCTGTCRCATGTATCCAGCTTTTATCCCTCCACGTTTAACAGGTTCACGTTRGAAACAAAATTTCATCAATGAAGAATTTTAATCCATTTAGTCTACAGCAAATAATTGGTTACTAAGTAAGTGGAAAGAGATTGAGCTGATACTCTTATCGAAGCAACAGTGAACTTGAGACACTACTCAGTATGTTCATAATCTTAAAACATTTTAAACTAATCTTAACATGTTTATTTTTCACTGACACAGGTTTGAAATTGGAAATACATATGTCTGGATGACTAAAACAACAAATAGGAGCAGCAGCATGTAAAGTGTAGAGAAGTAGAAGCATTAATAGAAATATTTCCACTATAGCAGCTATTAAACGACTTATTTTTTTTACGGTTTGGAAGAAGAACCCATATGTTTATGGGAATTTTCCCCCCAATTAAAATATGTGTGTATGAGTGTGTCTTTCTCTAAATATTATTTAGCTACACACACACACAGAGCTCATGTAAAAAAAATTCTCTACCAGTGAAGTGAGAGCTGCTTTTCCTTTTGTTTCTTGTCCTGCTGGCAGGCAGGAAGGACACCCAACCCAACAGCATCAGCACCTTCACGCACCTGCAGGTGCAGATTTGAAGGACAGTTCATGCCCTCTGTCACCCCCCACACCCGTGAAGGCCAGCGGAGCCTGGGAAAAAACCAAAAACTGCCCAGGRCTCAGAGCAGAGGCAGCAGCAGAGCCAGGCACCAGATGTGCCCGTGCCAGCAGAGCGTTCCATGGGAAGGGCAGCCCAGGACCCTGCAACCCCAGCACAGCGCTCCCCAAATGTTGCCCTGCACAGCTTCCAGGAGCCAGGGCATTCCCTGAACACACAGAAAGATGCTTGGTTTTACTTGGTTCACATTAAACACAGGGGGCATGCAGGTGGCTGGGTGCTGCGAGATGTGCTTGTTCCTTCACCCCCTCCCCATTTTTTTTCTAAAGAGAGCACATTGATATTTTATAAAGGATATAAATAAACCACAAAAAAGGGAAGAAATATTGCATTGGAACTATAGAAAAAATAATAAATACTTTTAAAAAAATGCTCTACCTCAATTCCTAGACAACTCAAATCTGACATGCAGTATATGATTTGTCTGCTAGGATCRAATCCAGGCATTTACCACTTTGTTAGCTTAAGAATTTTGAGCAATTTTTTCCATTTATCTGTATTGTCCCCAAAAACATTTCACACATTTCTCAGATACATCAATCCTTCCGGCATTCCTCTGTGCACTCAGTAGGATGCCCTGCTATAAATATAATAAAGCCTTTTATTATGTCCATTAACCATGGACATGTGTGCTCCAAAAGTTTCCTGACACGCAGTCATTTGTGGCTTTTTAATTATAAACAGAAAAAAATCTACCAGCAAAAGAAGACAGCACACTGGAAGYGGGTCTTTATGTGTGTGTTTTGAGTATATTCTCCGATGGCTGAAGGCACCCGCAGCCTCCTCCTGATCCCACCAGGAACATTCTGTGCATGCACAGAAAGCCAGAACATCACAGGTTCATCCTGACTGATACAGATTTGCCAGCTGTGCCAACTACAGGAATTCTGCAGGTTTTCAGGACCCAGTTACACTGATCAAACCTTTTTTCCACAGGCAAATATGCCCCGTCTGTCTCGCAGACCTTGTTCCGCTCGCACTCAGGAGAAAAGAAAAAAGGCTTAGTAAATTACTTGACAAATTAAGTCATATTTATTGAATGCATTTTATTTCAACAACCAAAAAATTCTAACAGCCTAACAATGCACATAAGTTAAAAATTAATTATCACTTAGTGATAACGAAGATAAAGTTGATTTACATGGAAAAATGAACATTTACAATATGTTAATCCTTATTCACATTGTTGATACCGCAATAAAACACAATTTGTTTTTTTTTATTTTTTATTACACAAAAAAGGCGGAAAATTGTGCTTTGTTAAGAGGCACTACAAGAAAAGTTTCTTTCTCCAAATAGATATTATATGATGGATATTGAATAAATAGACATATATGCATTGTAATTCGCAAAGTTCTGGCAAGACCACAGGCTAAAATGCCCACAGATTCACTTAGAACCACTGCAAAATTGGCAGTGAAATTAAAAATAAAAAGGCAAGACTCAGCATTGAAAAAATACCTAATAAAATTTTTGGTTGAAGTGTAAAAGATACCAAATGTTGATGCCATCATCAGATGAACAACTTACATCGCTTGGCAAAATTCAGTTTCCTTTCAAATGTATGGAGTGATTTCAGCTACAGGATAAGAAGACAGTTTTGAAAGCGTAGCTCTGAGAGAAACATAAAGCAGCAACCATCAAAATTCTGATTAAAGCTGCAGCATACTACAGAACTAAAGGATGAAGAGCAAAAGGGGCATTAAGTGAGCAACCCACCATAATTTTGCAAAGGTACATGAAATTTATGCAGAGATATYCATGTTTCAAACATTAGCTCTGAAAAAATCTCATAAAAACTCCAGAGGTTACTGAGCAGCTAGAATTAGCTTGTATTGCAACGTCTTCTCCCTGTATATTGTCTGTTCTGTGTAAATATCTACACRTAGAGGTTTTTAATTTTTAACTCCTACCTTTTATACCTTTCAAATATATAAATAGTATTAACAGTTATATTACATTGCCTGGTGTAGTAAACAGAAAGTAACTTTCAAAGTGATATTGCATGAGGTCTTTGTCAAGACTGCATGAAAAGCCCATGTGAAAAAAGGAAGAAAAAAAGCCTCGTTGGTACCGTTACGGCTGCAGTTTACAGGCGTCTGAAACCAATCCAGCTGCTGCAAGGTGAGGTCTTTGTCTGGGAACTCATTGCACGGAAGAAAAAGGTAAATGCTACTCGGTGTCTGTCTGGACAGGGTGCCACAAAGCGGGTGGATGCCATGGCAGATCGCAGCTTGGTGGGGATGGGCTCTGCKTTACGGAGCGCGGCTGGAAACACTGCATTGCACTGGCACAAAAGAGGGACATGGCTGGGGAGCCAGCCAGCACAGAAACACGGGGAGCACAGCCACGAGGGCGAGTGGCAAACCCTTGGGCTGGCAGCAATTTACCTGGACGGGACTCTTGGGATGGTGGCATTGTGTGTCGCAATGTAACTTTACACGTGTGTGTGTGTGTGTGAGTGTGTGTGTGAGTGTGTGTGTTTCACTTCAGTATAAACAAAAAGCAACAACAAGAAGGAAGCTTATAAATTTTAAGATCTGAAACAGAGAACAGGTAAATAAAATCCACGGTAAAAATGTAGTTGATAGTATGAATTCCATACATCAAATCTCAACACGTTTATCTTTTTTTCTCTTTCTGTAAAGACCTGGTTAATGGACAAGTCTTCTATGCACTGAATTTCAGTTTTGGTCAYTCTGAATCTCATGAAAACTCATCTGTTCACTACAGAAAGGACTATCTGGAGAGTGGAACATGCTTTATCCTTATAAGTGTGCATTGTGTTCAAAGTACTTTTAACTTACTAGTTTTCTTTTTAAGGTGCCCTGATTTGTTTTTCCATTTTCTCTCTTTTTTTCCTCTTTTATTTTTTTGGCAGTGTTGATTTATGTCTTTAAATACCTCAAAAATTACCCATCAAGTTGCCAGATAGGAAGCCATATAATAATGAAAAAAACCATCAGAGATAAACATAGAAAATAAATAGGAATTCAAAAATAGTCACCACACCCTGAGAGCAGGAGGCAGTTTATCAAAAAGCCAAAGCAACTCATTGTGAAGTGGTTTTAATACATAAACAAGTCTCATCTTTAAAGAACTCATTTCACAGTCTATACTTTCAGGTTGTAAAGTTCCGTCCCATGCAATTTAATATATATATATATATATTATGGAAATATATATATACACACACCAAGTTGTATGTTTTCCTTCACTGATTTCATAGGACTTTTTCTTCCCATTTACTTGCTAGCTGTCCCTTTCATAAGTGCAAGATTGATGAAGGCATAATCCTATGTGACTACAACGATTGCTTCAGTCAAATGTAGAAAGTGTGACACTCGAGTGTCTGTGTCAAGGCAATGTCTGATCGGGCAATGCTGAATTCATTCGGTTTGCACATGGATCATGCGCAATGGAAACAAACAAACCAAAAGTAAAATGAGGAGAAAAAAAAAATCAAAAATAAAACCAGAAAATCCTTGGACCAATGTATTGCTTTCTGCGCTCCTATCTCACATTATCTCTGGTCGATGTCTGCTGGAGCCGCCTTGCTTTTGTCGGGATTCTCCTCTTCAGCCTCTACTTTGTACATCTCCTCAGAGCCTTCCTCACTGTCGTTCTCCTCCGACTCCGTCAGCAGCTCCTCATCCTTGTACTCTGCCACGTCAACCACTGTTCCCAAGTGCTCTTTTAGCTTCCCGTGGTGCTTTACGTGGTAACGTTGGTTCTGGAAGAATTTGATGATGGTGTGTTTGGGGAGATCGAGCTGAGCAGAGAGGGTGTGGATGGCTTCCTGATCAGGGTACAGACCCACGTCATGAATAAAGCTTTGAAGGATACCTAGAGCTTCCAGAGAGATCTTGGTACGGGATCTTGGCTTTTTGGCACAACTGTCCTCAGCAGGTGGAGGAGGAGCYTCTTCTCTAGGTGGGGAATTCTCCTTGGCAGGCTGGGACTGCTGTCTGTGCAGCACCTRAAAGATCAAACAGACACACACTTCACATGCTGAGCCCCTCAGTGCTGGACATAAGGGCACTTGTACACATCTGTACACAGGACCTACTTTGAAAAGCACAATTAGTATGCATTGTCCACTGCCTTTCTCACCTGTAAGACAGCTACTCCAGTAACTACAGACTGAAAGAGGATATGAAAAGCAAATGATAGAAAATAAATGTAAAACCACAAMGCAAATAAGAAATATAAAATGCAAGTTATAAAAAGATATATAAAATAGCCAAAATAAAAATTAAGTCAAAAGGTATAACAGTCTCATGGGTCATGGTGACTGGCCAGTTGTCCCATCTCAGAAAAATCATTCTCCTGCTTTGCTCCTCTTCTCCCTATCCTTGTTTCCTCTCATCTTTGCAGGCTAGACACTGACCATTTCTTCAAAATGTCAAGTACCACAGGGGGCCTAGACACATGTGGGATTGTCAGGTGCTACTTTATGAATAATGATTTTGCATTAAAATCCATCACAGCTACTTTATGGGAGAAAAAAAAATTATATAAGTACAGAGATTTGTTAAGATTTCCTTTCTYTCAAGAAAGACAGCATAGTCAATTCAGTTGCTTCACATAGGTGRCTTTAATGTGTCTCCTGAATAGATTTCTCTGTATTACATCTGTAGTAATTTCACTAGTTGAGGAGTTCTGAGTTCAAATAATTATAGCCCTCCRTTCTGAGAAACCCTCTGGGCAAACACACTTTGCAGTCTTGTAACAGATTTTCACCCACAGTATCTCCTTTTCGGCAAGTTTAAAGAAAGCATATGTAGCTCTTAATCTTCCTAACAGCCACTTAAAATTACTAAGAAAGGGCCTCGTGCAGCCCTCGTTCCAGGGGAAAAAATACCTGCTTTGATTTGTTCAAACACAGAAGAGCTCCATATGCTTTCTTTAAAACCAAATCTATACAAGAGAGATTAACGGGAAAAAAATCCCCTACAGGATAGAGGGCTGGATTTGCCCAGAGGTTTCTTCAGATGCAGGGAAATAATTATTAGAGCTCAACACTCAAAGCTAACAAAATCAATATGGTTAACTATTTTCTTCCACAAGTAAGAGGGAATTCTGCCTCTTAAACCAAGAAAAAAATATCTTTGTTGTAAACTGTAACGTCCAGAAAATCAACGCTACATTAAAGCTCTCTAAAGGAAAAGGAAAAAAAAAAGGATAAATAATGGAAATGTGTTGAGAATTTGCACTGAATTTTAAACACATACTGAGCCCCCAGTAAAATTCTACACTAGTAAAGTTATTACCGCAAGAGGGAAGTCCGCTGTGGAATATCAGCCCGTTATGCAAATAACTAAAAAGGCTCTGTGCCCAAGAGCCCTTTACTCATTTCCTTCATCAARCGTTCCCTCCATAAGCATTTGTAACATTAGAGATCTCCAGTCCCAGTGTCCAGGGAGCAGAGGGGCTGTGAGTGAGGGCCAGCAGAGCAGGGACATGGCCACACACCCTGCCCTGGCACAAACACGACACAGAGCAGGTGCCAGCACTGGACTTGCCCCACTGTGGGAAAACACTGCAAACTCATTCTGTGCCAATGTGTACTTTCTGCCACAGAAATGGCTAACCAAGGAGCGGGAGGAAAGGGGAAGCTCAAATGGAAATGACAGATACTCTGGTTTATGTTTTATTACATCTCTTGTAATAAAAGAGCATAATGTTCCAATGAATGGAATCGCTCAGCTGCTCTTTGAGGATTTCTTTTTTGTCCGTGGATTGCTTTCAAAGAGAAGGGCTGRCGTTTCCAAATGGAGGGCTACAGATGAGGGTGGGATCCGTACCTACGTCAGCAGGGAGCWCTGAAAGCAGCAGTGCCAGCATCGCTGACTCTAGCCCGGAACAGAGCCCATAAATTTGTCACGCACACCCTACCTAATCTCCCCTGTTGTGGCTTCTGGTCCTGTCCCCTGACAAAGTAAGGCCCGGAGCAGCCAGAATGAAAAGGATTTAACACCACAAATAAACTGCCAGGGAACTTASAGGCAGCGTCACACAAAAAGCCACAAGTAGCATTGCTAATCAGAAGCTGGATTCAAGTAGCAGCAAACAGAGATAGAAACACATCCAGACAGGGTGCGAATCATTCAGTTTGTTCTTGTTGGAGTTGGAAGGGGGCTTTTTTTTTTCCCTTTTCAGTTGACAAATAGCATGAGAAATGATCCAGCTTGAAAAATGTTACAAGACTTCCAATCAAATATAATGACGAAAAAAATCCAACAATACGGGATCAGCAGCAGTAAAATGTTTAATTTGAAGGAGATGAAGAGATGCCTACAGCATCTATAAAGCAATCAACCAAAGAGARGGCTGAGAGCGGGAGGGAAAGAATAATTTCAATTAACCCTTCCTTTTCCAGAGTGACCTCTCCACCTACTCCAGTAGAGAACATGCAAAACCTGGGGGTTATCAGCGTAAAATACTAGGAAAAGGTATTTTATTTCACCTCCTGTTGTCCTAAGTAATGCAAAAATCTAAAKCTGCTCTTGTAGCAGATAAATCTCATTATTTTACTAACTTCTGGGCGTTTCCTCTGGATTCCAGTGGCATTAACAAAGGATTTAAGCCACACTGTATTTTTCAGCAAAATAACTTTAGCCATATACTATACAAAGAGACAGATAAATGCACAAAATGTCCCTCAGATCCGGGCTGTGGTCAGTTTTGCAATYCCTTCCAATAGTACAGGCTATTTAGCACAAAAGAGCATGCTTTTCTGCACAAACCAGATCAACTGCTGACCACATGGTACAATATGAAATCGAAATTACCTTCGTGTTAAATATTTGCTTTAAACCAAACTTGATTGATGAACATGCTGGTCAATTTGARTGATTGGCTTACTTCATGCATGCCACAGCCTCACAGAGGAAATGGACTGTTTTTGTAGTTCCAYGTTTTCAGATCTTGGGTCATTATTAGGCTGCTAGAACTGCAGGTAAAATTTCCAGCAGCTTCATGCACTGCTGTGCACATTCTACCATGTCATTTTGGGGTTTGGGTCAGTGCRCATCTTTGGGAGATAATGCTTCACGAAGATGCACTCAGGTAGACTTTCTCCTCACAGGCAAACTCATCATTTTGAAACAAATTCACCAGCCCTGGTARAAAACTTGCAAGAAAATGACTGTGATGGAAGTTGACTTTAAATGATAAAGTGRCTGGTCTTAGATCCCACTGTACTGAAATACGATTTGAAGGCCACAATGAAAACCAGCTGGAAGCCATGTGTAAAATATAATAGTACATGCCTACAGGGAAGGAAGTGAGATATTGAATGATTAAATTTAGGAGAGTATATAATGTAGCGTATCATTACGGGACTGATCAGGATTATTTGTAATAAGCTAAGGGTTTGTAGTCTATCTAAAACCCAAAGCCATGAATTATCWAGGGGAAGGGATTGTTGCCCTGTTTTACATATATCCACTCCCCACGTCTCCCACAGGAGAAACCTGACTTTGGTGTTCCCACAGAAAAGAGAGGTTCACTAACCTAAGCTGAGGATGAACATCATGAAAACTGAGGATGAACATCATGAAATTGCAGTCTGTGCCTGTAGTGCATTTAATTTTGGCTGGATTCACTATGCCACTGATGTTTGTTTCCATTTCCACCCACTTTCTAGCTAGAACTAGACACGTGACACGGTGCGTGGTGAAGGGAGCCAAGCAGGATGCTGGAGCAGGGAACACACACTCATCCAGGCACCACCAGCAGCAAGGCACCAGCTGACAGTGCTGGCTCTGTGACATGTCACCTTCCCTTGCCTGGACAGCCATTCCAGCAGACTGGAATCGGGAACTCCATTTTTGTTTTGTTTCCCAGTGTAGTTCTGCCCTTCACTTTCAGAAATAATCAGTCATGTGAGCTCCCTTCTGCTAGGACTTCATGAGATGATGAGGTGCCCCTTGCTAAGAGAAGCACAAAAATTACATTCTTCAAAGACTGCAATTGCAACAGACACCACCTTCCTCTGTGCACAGACAGCGTGAGCACTGACAGATACCTTTATGCCATGTGTTGGTCAAAACAAATTTTCATAACCCAAACCCACGAGRAGCAAAGTTGAATGGATTGGCCTCCTCTTCACCAGAGGAGGTTTGAATTGGATATCAGAAAATATCTCTTCACTGAAAGGGTTGTAAAGCATTGGAAYGGGCTACCCAGGGAAGYRGTGGAGTCRCCATCCCTAGGGGAATTTAAAATATGTGTAWATGTGGCACTTAGAGACATGGTTTAGTGGTGGCATTSGTGGGTTAATGGTTGGACTCAATGGTCTTACAGCTATTTTCCAAACCAAATAATTCTATGAATCTATTCGTAGTGGTGGGTCTGTGAAAGATCTTTCACTTTTCTGAAGCTCTGCTTCACATTTACAGTGCTCTCATAGCCAGCCATAACACTGTATCACATCAAGGACTTCCATGCCAAAGACAGCAAGATTTTTAGCCTGTTTATGGACCTCAAAACAAAAACCAGAGAGGACAGACTTAGTGCAAAATGTAGGTCCAGAACGTGCATTTGGGACACCCACCAGTCATCTATTACTGCCTTTACAAGTGTCCATGGCTCATCAGCAGGAGTTACCACCAGTTCAACTCCATGTGAAAACAATTCACCACAAACCTCCTGTCAGCAAGCCTTTGGAAAAGCTCCTTCCCAATGGCCAGCTGAAGTCAAAGGCAGGGCAGAGGACAGGGCTCAACAAGATGTTCAGCTGTATTTAACTGAGCAACACCTCACCCCTGTAAGCTGAGAGCTCCCAGKCAGTGCCCAGCTATCCTGGGAAGAATTTATTCAAGAGACAAACTCTCTTCTGTTGCAACAAAATCTTACACCGAGAAGAAGGCACTGTCCCTCTTAGCAGAGTTTAGAGGAATAATCTGCAAGAGATTATCTATTCAAATACACAGCCTTACTCCCTAGCCCTGGTCTCTCTTCACATATAAAAAA